CCCCTCCCCCATCAACAATAATTGCCCACCCCTGCTCTAGGCTCTGCCGTTAACCTCTGCTCTGCCCGCTAAAACCCTCCCAGCAAACCCAAGTGCAGAGCTAACGGCACCCTGGGCCTGATCCTGCCCCCCAGCCCTCCGCGCTTGTGTTGTCATGGTCACCACTGCCACGTTGAATGAGCTGCCCTGCACGCGCCCTTTGCCAGGCACAGAGGAGAACCGGCCCAGGGCGCGGCTCCGGCAACTCGGGGCGTCTCTCCAAGGCTGGTTTCCCCTGTGGGGCTGTCTGCCGCTGTCCGTCTGGGCTCTGAAGGTGCCTTGGTGTGGCTTTGCTGAGGTTGGTGGCGCGTCACTTCTCCCTCTCTCGTTTTCAGACACGCACCGGGAGTTTGTGCCCCGGCCCCTCTCTGGCTACATGCCCGAGGAAATCTGGAGAAAAGCCGGTGAGTGCGCCCCTGTGGGATCCTACCACCTGTGAGGGCTTTGGAACAGCGGCCATATGAAGGGGGATGAGAAAGACGGGGACTTTTCAGATTAGAAAAGAGGAGACGAAGGGGGGATGTGTCAGAGGTCTATAAAATCATGGCAGGTCTGGAGAAAGCGAATAAGACAAGTTATTTACTTGTTCCCGTCACATACGAACTAGGGGTCACCACATGAAATGAATAGGCAGCAGGTTTAAAACAAACCAAAGGAAGTTTTTCTTCACACAGTGCACAGTCAACCTGTGGAACTCCTTGCCAGAGGATGTTGTGAAAGCCAGGACTTTAACAGTGTTCAAAAAAAGAGCTAGATAGATTCCTGGAGGGTAGGCCCATCAATGACTCCTAGCCAGATCGGCAGGGATGGTTCCCTGTTCTGTTCACTCCCTCGGGGGCACCGGGCATTGGCCACTGTGAGCAGACAGGACGCTGGGCTGGATGGACCTTTGGTCTGACCCAGGCTGGCCATTCTGATGTGGCACTGCCTGGCTGGAGGTCTGAATGAGTCCCGGGGCCCAAACGGCGCCTGGCCGCACCTGAGCTGTCCTGTGTGTCCTCCTCTGTGGTCGCTGGGCCAAGCACAGCCCTGCGTTCCTGGCCTGGACCTCGGTGGAGCTCCCCAGCGCTGAATCTGGCAGGCTGCGTGTCGGGGGCCTTGCTCATTAGGACTCCTGGGGACTGGCAAGAGTTGCATGGAAACAACACCCCCCCACCCCCTTCCTTGTGGCCAGGAGGCAGCGTGCCCATGGAAGGGGATGGGAGACTTTCCACCGGCTCCAGCAGGCTGTGGGTGTGTCCCGTGGGGTGAGCCGTTCCCAGCCAGGCCCAACCCCTCCGGCGCCAGCGGGAGGTCAGCTCCTAGCCCCCTCTCTCTGGGGCACCGCTACGTAGAGCGCTGCGTGGGGCTGGCCGGCAGGAGCCAGGGGGGCAGAGAATGCGAGCGTGGCACGCTCCCCGTGTCCTCTCAGACATCCCAGCCCCCCTCCCGCTGTGGCTGACCTATGGTACCGTGGGTAACAAGACCCTCCGTGGCTCCAAGGGGCACCAGGGGTAGGACCCAACCCCGCCCTGCCAGGGATCAGAAAGAAATGGCCCCCTCTGGGCTGCCTCTGCCACAGCTGTGCACTTTGGGGGGCAGGCAGACTCTTGTACCATCCAGCTTTCCACCGCTGGAGACTGAGCTGAGCTAGTCTGGCGAGACCCCCAGTTCTTCAGCCGCAAAGCTAGGCACGTCGCCGCACAAGCGGTGATGCATGTAATCGGAGCGTGTGCGGGTGCACAGCTTCGTGCACGTGTATGTAACCACCACGGGGCAGATTAGAACCTGGGACCTCTGGAGCTTAGTGTAGGTGCCGCTACCGCTTGGGCTATAAAACCAGCTGGCGCTCAGCTTAGGCTGCAGAGCTCCCTGGTCCTTCTCTCTCGCTGTATGTGGCGTAAGTGTCCCTATGTGAGGCAGTAACCCGCACCCACGAGGGCGGGTCTGTGCGGCCAGCTGTGGCAGCGTGTGCACGGGCGCACAGGCGTGCTATTCAGGCCTCCCGCCCTTCATAGCCAAACACTCGCTAGCAGCTCGCCCCCCCTACCCCCGTGCCCACTGGTCTCCTGCTGGCTGGCTGGCCCCGGCGGACGCGGGCAGTGGCATTACATGCTCCTTCTTCCGTTCAGAAGAAGCTGTGAACGAGGTGAAGCGCCAGGCCATGTCTGAGCTCCAGAAAGCCGTGTCGGACGCGGAGCGCAAAGCCCACGAGCTGATCACGACCGAGCGGGCCAAGATGGAGAGGGCCCTGGCGGAGGCCAAGCGCCAAGCGTCCGAGGACGCGCTGACGGTGATCAATCAGCAGGAGGACTCGAGTGAGGTAGAGGCGAGCTCACCCGCCCCTGCGCTGTGCTCGCGAGGGCGGGAGCGTGTAACCCCTGGCGTGCTGACGCCACGGGCGGGCCGGGGCCAGAAGCTCGCTGTGTGGGGGCGGCCCCCTTCTAGCAACTGAGCTGACACAGATAGAGTGCAGGATTCTGATTTGTAAGCCAGGTCGGCTTGCGATTCGCCCCGGCTCCCACGCTGAGGGTTTAGAAGGACCCAGTGGAGTGAAATCAGACTAGCATCACCAGACATGAGCGGCTGGTAAAGATAGGGCGGGGAGAGGCAAGCCCCCAACCCCGCCCCCAACCCCGCCCCTTCTGTCCAGGCCACGCCCCCATCACAGGGCCTGCAGGTCGCGAGCAGCCCGCCCTCCCTGGCCCCAGAGCATGGGGCAGGTGTTCTGGGGGTGGACTCCGGGCAATGCCTTCCCCACCTTGCACACCGGCCGCCCATGCGACCAGACCAGGGACTGCCCGAGAGTGGCCAGGCGTCTAAGAAAGGTCCAGCAGGGGACCTAACCCCCAGGGCTGGCGTGTTCCGTGGTGCTCAGGATCCGTTGGGCGGTTCCATGCCCCAGGGGGTGTCTAGCAGGGCTGGGTCTCTCTTCCAGGCTTCACGGCACCGGCGCTGATGTCTCTGCTCTCGCCCTCTCGTACAGAGCTGCTGGAACTGCGGGCGCAAGGCCAGCGAGACCTGCAGCGGGTGCAACACGGCCCGCTACTGCGGCTCCTTCTGCCAGCACAAGGATTGGGAGAAGCACCACCACGTCTGCGGGCAACCTCTGCAGGGCCTCCAGGCCTCTGCCGGCGCGGCCCCTTCCTCCGGGGTGGGCTTAGGGGTGGGCTCGGCTCAGCCGGACGTGGCCGCCAGCACCTCCCTCAGCAGCGTGGCCATGGCGGCCAGCCCCAGCGAAACCGGCTCGACGGCTGCGTCACGCTCCGGCACGCCGGCCACCCCAGCTCCTCTGGAAACGGCGTCCCGCTAACCGGCCGGCCAACAGAGGGGAACGAATCCGAGAAACCTACAGACCGTTGCTGCTGCTACCGCTTCTCTCCAAAAGAAAAACTAACTGCATTCAATGCAACTTCCTCAGCTACCTGACTTCTGTGACCTCCAAATGACCTCTCGATCTCTCACATGTAATCCTCACGGCTCCTCAAACCGGGCTTTAAGTGGAGTTAAGGCAAATACCAATCTTCTCTGTTCTCTCTTCCTTTCTTTATGATTTGGGGAGTTATCGTTGCTGTTGGTTTGTTTGTTTTCTTCTTTTCGGACAAGGAATTTGTCCGCAAACTCTACGCATCTTCACTCGGGGAAAGGAAAACCCACCCGTCTCTGTCCCGCCGAAGATACGCGTGTGTGCGTGAAATATCCCTCTCAGTGCAGCTGGGGGAAGGCACGATGAAGGATTTTGATTTTACAAGGCAAGAAACTTCTCTTCTTTTTTTTTTTTTTTGTAAAAAAAAAATAAAAACTAAAAACATCAAACTCTTTGGCTTTAAGTAAAAAAAAAAAATCCAAAAAACAAACAAAACCAAGTAAAGGAAGCTTACCTGTAAACTACCTTGCTAGCTAGCCAAGAACATACCAGACTCACCTCTGCTCCAAAGGAAATCCAAAAACAAACAAACAGAAATATCCAAACCTTTTTTCCACTGCCAAAGTTGTTTTGGTTTCTGTTGTTGGGAGGTTTTTTTTGTTTTTTGTTTTACTTTTTCAGTTGATGGTTTTGGTTTGTTTTTCATGACGCAAGGAGCAGCACTTATCCCTTTCAACCAAACCACAACGACTGGCCAAAGGCGAGCCGGCGCGCTTGGACTCCTTGCATTCTTTGGTGGGGTGGGGTAGGGTGGGGTCTTGCGCTGGCCTCTCAGCAGCGACACGTACCTGGAAGGAGGAAGGACGCGCATCTGTGGAGTTAAAGAATTTTATTAAAATAAAGAGAAAACAAAACGAAAAAAAAAAGATACACAACTTTTGTGCGTGCGTGCGTGGGTGCGTGTGTGTGAGTGTGTGACGGGGAGCCGACATTCTGTGCTCCCTCCCTCTGTGGATTATAAACATGTTTCATTTGCTTGGGAAAGCGTGCTCATGAACAACGACCGTCAGATCCCAGTCCTGTTCCAGAGAGAGCATCATTTCAAACAGAACCGTGACAATCTGTTGTGGATTCTCCCCGCGAGCAGAAAGCAATTGCACCAGGACCTTCTGCTTTTTGTACTCCTCCACTACCTCTCTCTGCTCTCCAGAACCCCACCGCTCCAGCTCCAGTATCTTGTGACTGCTGTCCTCACCACTTCAACCTTTCACAGGAAAAAAAAAAGACACCTTTTGTTTTTTTCCCTTCTGAAGACTCTTCCGAAGGCCTGTAGATAGATTCCCCTTGCGTTTGCGTCTACTTGCTCTCCAGATGTTTTCTCCAGTCCTGTGATGAATTGCCATTGGGTTATTTTATTTAGTTTTTGTTTTTCTTGTCCCACCCTGCACCCCCTCGTATGGTTTTGCAACCGTTTCTAGGAGGAAAGAAAGGAAACAAACCAACACTGGTTCTTAGAGAAGAAATAAAAGACAATGTAGATTATTGTGCATTTCTTGCAGCACAGAGGACGGGAGTGCAATATAGCAAGTGACACGGCTGCAGAACACGAGAAGGCTAGACACTGCCCAGCCTTGGTCAGGGCAGGTATTGTATGTTAATGTGAATGTATATAGTATTTGAAGAGGTCCAAAAATAATAATAATAATGATAATAATAAAAGAAGAGATGTTTGCCAAATAAAAAAAAATTAAGATAAACCACCGAAGTATGTAAAGTTTAGGAAATAGGTTTAAAAAAAAAAAAGCAAAATCCACATGCTTACTAGGAGCATTAGTTTCCCAGAGTTGCAAAGTCTATCATGTGTGTTTTGAAAAAAGTAGTGATTTTAAATA